TGGTATCGCTTGTATTATCGTGAAGTTGTTGTTTCATTTATCGCCAAGTGGTGGTTTATTTATGGTAGCCCGAGTAGTTGAATGTTACGAAAATCCTATTATGACGTAATCGGTTGCATGCTCGTTGTGTGTGTTGGTTAGGAAGTACATTGCTTGTTTTCTGGTTCAGATGGTAAAATGGCTGAATGTGGTAAGATTAATTTGAAGTTTCTGTACGATTTGCAAAGAAGGGAAAAAGAACATTACTTGACTTGTGTGTAAATGAAGGTTTACTTAGTAGCCATTATTAAGTGTTCCTGTTTGTAGGAAGGAAATGCGTATGGTCGGATGATATGGCACTCTGGAGGATATTTTTTGACTTTCTCATTTTGTGAATTGATGTGGCAATGTCAGTATACAGATTTCTAGTTCACATAATTTTAAGGAAGTTTTTTAGGATGCTGTTAAGGAATTTTGTTTGACTGAGTACATGTTAATTCGTAAATAAGGTAAGTGGATATTTCCTTTGTGTAGTGCAAACATGAATTTTCTTTTTTATGTTATTTCATTGTTTGATTTAAAATGTAGTTTATTGAGATTCTATATTTTTTTGATGGCTGCTCCTTTGACTTTTTAAGGGAATATAGTTCGATGTGTACATGAACAAAGCTGAGGAAGTGCGCAATGCCTAGTTTGTGGAATTCTGTGATGTTTTTTTAAGTGAAACTAGGTCGATGTGTGCATGGATAAAATCAAAGGAGTGCGCAATGCCAAGTTTGTGCAATTCTGGGATGTTTTTTTTAAGTAAAAATATGTCAATGTGTACATGGATACAGAGTTTGTGCAATTCTTTGTCTTGTTATTTTGGCTTTGCGTAGCGGTGATTTTTGGCCCCAAAATCGCGGCAACACAAGCCAAAATAAGTCAAAGAATTGCACAAACTCGGTATCCATAAGTTAAAGAATTGCACAAATTCTGTATTCATGTACCGCCAATATTTGTCAATTTTCACCGAGGGGTACCCGTAACTATACTTTTATTGCTTTTTTTCCCTTCCCATTGATGGAAAATTAAAAGTATGAAGTAGGAAATTACCTGATTTTTCAATGGAAACTGACCCAACTGAAGAAAGGAAAGGCCACTTTATGAGAGGTATTGACGTTAATGAGTTAATGAGTTGCGTCAGAAATTATCCCAAGCAAAAATCACTAGCTGTTAAAAAAATAATTGTCTCATTACCTACTTATTAAGTGGTAAAAGAAATCCTTTCAATTAACGTTTGTTTCATTTTCTCCTTTTAATTGCAATAATACTTATTGTTTGTATACATTGTATGTGCTTTCTTAATCTGATTCTTTCTTAATTTCTCAGTCTGTAGGTTAGGCTGCTTGTAACAGTGATCTGTCCCCTTCCGATTTCAAATTATATTAAAGGAATTAGAGTATTCTGTAACTGTATCCTTAAGAACTGTGTTATTGCTTGCAGCAATTGGCAGAGGACTCTAATCATCAAATAGAGTATCGAGAGACCAAGCTTGTTTATCTTGTTGATTGGCTGCATTTGCTTGACTACATCCTCTAGTGTTCCATGAATTGGATGGAGAATTTATCACTGTATTAGTGCCCAAGTTTCTTATTTTGAAAACTATTAGGTGTATTGAATTTTCAAATAAAATGTATTTCCAGTACTAAGGATTCCAATACTACAGTTCCTCACTTTAGGAATAGATCTTGTATTGCTTATATCACCACTTGTACAAAGTCATTGATTGTATATTTATAAGGCCTCTCACTTTCTTGGGCCCCCTAAAAAATTAAAATGTAGTATATCAGACTCATAAAGGGCCCCATATCTCAAATAGCTTAAGGCCTTATCAAGTCTAATTTCGGCTCTGTTTGTAAGTGGTTCAGTATCCAATTATCAAAATGTATGGGTGTGAATATTTTGGATGTGAACTGTGATTTGTTACATTTGTTATTTCCTTACAAAATACTGAAATTGTTTGATGATGGCAATGACCCCAATGTAATCTGTTCACAATACTAATGTCAGTTCCAGAATTTGTAGTTATGAATATTTTGAGCATAAACTGGGTCCTTGTTAAGATTTGTTATTTACTTTTCAAAATACTTTAATTACTTGATTGTGGAAATAACTCATGTGTAGTTTGTTCTTGACATTCTTGTTACTTCTGGAATGTGCAGATATAATGTAAACTCTTTCTGCTATATTTGTTGTTCCTCACAAAACACTTAAAATATTGGTGTTCGCCCGATAGCATTGCGGACGAAAACGTCGCGGAGAAAACAACGCAAGGCGAAAACGTCGTTCTACAAAACATCGTAGGAGAAAACATCGCAATTCTAAAACATCGTGATACAAAACATCGACGTCGAAAGTAAAGCGGTTCAAAAACTTCGCAGTTTAAAAACATCGTCGTCGAAAGTATCGTGGTAAAAAATAAAGTATCTACAAATCATCGCATGACGATAACATCGCAGACATGCTTTTTTCATGTTTTAATAATTGTAAATGGATATTCCCATGATGATTTGTGAGCGCAAGAAGGGTAATTTTTACTTTCACATTTTTTTTTATGAACCAATAAATTTTCGTTGAAAAAGTAAGAAGGAAACTTAAACATAGAAAATTAAATGCAACTTATAGATTATACTCTTCATGAAAAATTACCAGTAAAAACTTTATAAAAAATGATTTATTAATGGCCTTTGCTAGTTAACTATGTCGGTTTAAAATTCTATTAAGTGCTTAAGTTGCATTAATTTTCTATGCTTAAGTTTGCTTCTTATTTTCTCAGTAAAAATTTATTAGTTAATAAAAAATATGAAAGTAAAAGTTATCCTTCTTTCCATCTTGCGCTCATAAATCATTATGGGAATATCCATTTGCAGTTACTAAAACCTGAAAAATGCATGTCTGCGATGTTATCGTCATGCGATGATTTGTAGATACTTTATTTTTTACTACAATATTTTAGACGACGATGTTTTTAAACTGCGTGAAGTTTATGAACCGCTTTATTTTCGACGTCGATGTTTTGTACCACGATGTTTTAGAACTGCGATGTTTTTGCCGCGATGTTTTCGGCTGTAACCAAAAAACCAAAATATTTGAGCATGATTGCATTTCTAACAGAGTAAGTATTGATACTCATGACACTTCCAGAGTGTGCAGATATGAATATTTGAACATGGGCTACCTTTTGTTATGTTTGTTATTTTCTGATAAAATTTCAGTATTTTATCAGAAAACGTTAAGTAGAATTGAAAAAAAAAAAAGATATCAACAGACAAATTAATGGTAACAGTAGTAAACTCATAGTCTTAATCTCGTTGATGTTAGCTCGTCGGAAATTCATAACTGCTTCGTTGGATCTAATTCTTTACTCCATTGAATAAAAACAAGGAATTTTCGTATTCCATCATCCAAAAGATTTTATAAAATGTTATATAGATGCCGGAAACTTTATGCAAGTAGTCAACTGTTTTCCAAGATTAAGACCTTCACATGGGTATCCTGGCACCCTTGACGAGGGTTGCTTTCTTGAAGAAATCAAACGTCGCTGTACACTGATAGTTCGGTCCGAGGTTCGAATCCCGAAAACGGGCTGCCTGCATGACCGTTTTCGTGGTGTAACATGTACAAGAGCCATTTTCCCTAGAAAATCCTCCACTAAGGCATCCCTTCCCTTAGATAAATAGTCCTCGAGACTTTGCCGTAATCACATAAACCAAACCAAGATATTGAACTTCTTAAAAATGCCGGAAAATTTATGCCTTTATGTCAGGGGACTCCTCTCCGTTTCGGCAAGGCGTGACCTAGCTTGGAAAAGGTACTGGCACTTTTGTGAGCGTCGGCGGCTGTTTGCCAAGACTAAGAGTCCTAAGTCAGCGACATACACATGGGTTGTTTCCTCACGATACCGAGCTTCGTTATGGTGCTGGCAGCTTTCTGCATTTCTTTGTGCCTTGCTGAAAGACGGGTAGGGTGAAAAGGTGCCAGTACGTTTTTCAGATTCCTTTTTTTGACTCGCGCTGATTAGACCAACTCCACCTACGATGAACCTCGCCATTAAAAAATCCAAACAGTATGCTACAACAATAAATCGCTGTACCAATGCAGATAACGATACAAGACCAAACGAGGTTGCGAAGCAACAGCATTAGCATCGCCTGTAGTATATTTAAGACGTCGAGTAGTCGTTACAGCCGAAAAGATCCTGTGTTCGGGCTTCGGCACTTGTAGAACAGCAGTCACCTTAATTGGTACGGTTAAGGGCAAACGTGACAATTAATAAAAGCAAACAGTGCTTTCCAAAAGCAGATTTCTCTAATTACCAAATTCTGGTCTCCCCCCCCCTCATGAATTTTCGTTTAGTAAATAGGAGTGTGGTACGCTCAACCAACCTCTCTTTCTCGTGGATACTACATATGTATGTGGTGTATATTGCATAATACGGTAAATGGTTAAAACTGTGATTTCCATTGACTGTATAGCGCTTTCTCGCTACCGTAAAGCTGAAAATGACAAGTGCGGTAAGTGGGTGACTACCTGTATTGAGTTTAATAATTACGAAATAGAAGAAATGTTCTTCCAATACAAGAAGGGAAAAAACTACTATTTTGACTACACAAATCATGCTGATTATTACTCCCAGACTTGTCGGTATTATTCGCGGGAACAGTAGTGTTATCCATTATCATTTATCAGCAACTATACTACATATACTGATCTTGAACAAAAGAAGTATTGTTTAAGAATAATCTGATCTATATTTAACAGTTTTGAATGTATAAGGTAATTCTACATCTGAGTACTTTAGTTAGCGTTGCTGGTGTTATTTTTGCGAAAATTATACTGAACGGAAAGAAAGCAAAGAAATGCTGAAGAAAATTACTAATTGAAACGTGAAACTAATTGATTTAATTATAATTATTAGGATATCTATTCCCATGTATGGAATATAGTTTTCCGTGTGCTCAAACTACAAATAAATAAAGAAGAAAATTATTATTTCTTTTATTTAACCAGATATGAATTCAATAACATTACGAGCTTGAATATGAATAAATTTCTCCTTTGATCACTTTTTCTAATAATGAGGTGCAGTTGATATTTAGCGTGGTAGTACATTTTAGGGAGGTCCATAAGTGCCTTGGACATATCTTGAAGGATTCTGGTAGCCGGTGATAGTTGGTGTACCTTGTTGAATATTAAATCTTTCATTTCGGACATTTCCAGTAACGAAGCCTTGTCTAGACTTAGGCTTTCTGTTCAAACATAAATTGACGAAAAGGAAAGTCATACTGAAGAAAAATCCAGCAATAAGGACACCTACCCAGAGGTAAAGAAATATAAATCCAGTACTTATGCATTCGCACATATTTGTAACTTCTGAAAGACGAATCTGGGAAAAAAACAAAATTATTATTCTAGAGCTTGGTTAAAATATAAAAATTAATAAGAAAGAATTAACTCAATTTTCAAGTGGTTTTAAAAAGTTAGATGTATACATTAGTTGCCACTTAATGTCATCACGGTTAATGTGATCATCCGGATATTGTTATCTGATAGGTTATGTCCCGCCCATGTGTAGAAAAAATCATGGAAATTATTGTGATCAACAATCCGGTTAGTATTATCAAATGTTGAAGAGTAAATTTTTCAACTGAAGTAAAATCGCCAAATAAGATCGAAATAAAGTATAGAAATTGCCAAACTGTAGAGACATGTCGCCAAGTAAGGCGACATGTCTCATGTCGAAACATGTCTCTACACATGTCTATACATGTAGAGACATGTGTCACGAAAGCACAGTTATTCTCAATTGAGATAAATTATGGTAAATGTAAATTAGGTATGTATTTGCAGCAGAATACTTATAATTACTTTAAACTATTGTGTCAGAGTCCATGGATGAATTTGAAAAAAACACCTGATGAAAATTAATATTTATGCAGTTTATAAACCTGACAACAGTCAAATAAACGAATAAAATAAAATGTAAGAAATTAATTACCCGTATTTGTCTATGCAAACAACATTAAATGAATAAACAAAGCAGAATTACACAGCGGTTATACAATGGTTTTATATGTGGTTCGGGGTGCGTGTTTCTGGCAGATTTTAGACTCTCTCTGTGGATTTATTGGCTATGCATTTTATTTTATTTTTATACCTGCAAATAGCTAAATCTCTGCCTAAGAGATAGTTACATGTTAGATCTTGAAATTCTTATATCGTTGATAAGTATTCGTAAATATGCCTAAGTGGTTCTTGTACTTATCTATACGGTAAAATGTTTATACCGTACAAAGTCCAAGATTCGGACTCGTCGAGATTTCGGCGATTCCAGAGTTCGAATCCTAGAGAGAGGCCTGGCGAAATGGACGTTTTCGTGCTTTCCCCCATATGTAATGTGGATATTTGCCAGTTTTCCCTAGGAAGACCTCAACGAAGGCATTCCACCTCTCGGGCAGATAGTTGCGTGCTTTGCTGTAACCAAGTAAACCAAACGATTTCTAGAATAAATATGTCATCCAGTGATCCATGTGTACAAGATATTCCATACGCAACGGATAATATAGGAATGAGGCATCTTGTTGAAAAATGGCGTGATTTAGGTGAAACTAATTAGAATACCTTAATTTATTTTAAATCCTTTGTAGAGACATTAGGACTTTTTGGAAGGAGAAGATATTGAAAAATGAGCAATGCCCTCTCCGGGACTCGAACAACGGACCTCTCGAATACGCGTCGAGCGTGACTACTACACCACGAATGCATGCTAAGAAGGAAGGAGAAGTACCTTAATATACTCTCCCTTTTAATAGGCCACAGGGGATTAGGAACCCAATCGCCAAATCCTGGTGGTGGAGAATCATCATCCACAAACTTTTTTTTAAAAGTTCCGGCGCCATTGTGGAGACATTAGTCTTTTGGAAGCAGGAGATATTGAAAAATATCAGCAATGCTGTCGACGGGACTCGAGCCACGGACCTCTCGAATACGCGTCGAGCGTGCTGACCACTACACCCCGAAGGCTTGCTAAGAGGGCGAGAGAAATACATTACACCTTCATAAAAATACAAAATTATTTAGCAACCAAATAATTTCAAAAGTCGATCAATCCAAGTTTATGAGTAACTAAACAAAGAATATAAACAGTCTAATTTCCCAACGTTTCTATCATATATACTTCGAAAGAACTTTGGAATTATTCGCTATCATTTAAACATGTTTCGATATCTTAAAGAAAAAAAAAAAATGCTCTTAATGCTTTTAAGTTGGTATCTTGCATTGAATACTTTGATAAGCCATTTTTATCACCAAAAGCGAGAGAAGGAAATACACGTGAAGCAGAAGGACAGATATTCCTGATGCAATTGTATTTATTTTGAGATTTTTGCACATGCGTGAGGTGCAGACTTTTTTTTTTTTTTTTTTTTTTTTTTTTTTTTAAGTTCAAGACACAAATAAATGAAACGAAAAATTTCTTTTATTTTACCATATCTGAATTAAATAACAGCAGCAAATTGAACTTGAATGTTGTCATTTCACTTCATCTATTGATACTTGAAATTAGGTTCAGTCGATTCGGCATAAGTTGGCGGTTGGTTTTGCTGAAAGGTACTTGCGGCGTCCGTCATTTGAACAAGTCCTGAGGGCATCTGGGTACTGGGCGTAGGTTCTGGTCTATTCTCGGAGTCAACCGTTTGATTTTGAGAAGTTTGAACTATGTAGCCTAATCTAAAGATCTTCCTCTTAGCTGTGCGTAGGGCAATAATCCCGATAAAAAATGCAGTAGTGACGATAAAACCGAACCAGATCAAGAGAAATTCAGCTCCTTGTCCCGTGCACGTGCACATATTTTTAAGCATAAAAAGGTGAATCTGAGAAGAAAAAATATTTTACTGTATTTTATTGACATGCACTAAATCACAAGCAAGAAGTGTTTGTATTTGCATATACTCATAAAAGATATAAAATGTTCCCAAAAAAGCGTTTAAAAATCTACTTTCGTAAAATTGCGCAGTATTAATGTTTTCATTATTTAATATTTAGCTGTATCTCTCTACGTTAAAGGATTATCGTGGTACCACATTGATAAAATTTAAACTTGTAATACAAACACTGAAATTCTGCCAACTTTGAACTCTGACTATATTTGGGAAAAAAGAGTTATATAAATATATGAATGTGTTGGTTTAAAAATACATAGTGAACAAAAGTATCTCGTCAAATGCTTTAATTAAGCAAATAAAATATATGTAAATTACAATAATATTTTCCGATGACGCGCTTTTTGGAGATTTCCTAGAATTCAAAATGCAATTACCAAATCAGTTTTCCAAATAAAATTACACTACAATAAAGAAATAGATGTGTGCAGAACCTTGATTTCCATGAATTTATCAATCGATGAATTCCATTTATTTATATTTTAATCATACTTGTTCACATTTCTGTACTAGTTCATGCAAGATGATATTTTTCTGTATAGGTGTTAACTTCATAAGACAAAAAGGCGAGAGAGAAATTTAAAGTTTGAAAAATGATGCCAGAATTCCGCGAAGTTCCGAAAATCATCTTTTTATGAAGTTCAGTTGACAGAAAATATTAGGATCTTCCCAACATTGATGTCACTTGCTTACAGAAGTGGAAGAAACTAAGTTTATTCCAAAGTTTGCTCCTTGACCAAGATTAACTAGCGTGGTGATATCAGCGGGCCTGCTCCAATATCCCCTAAATACATGGCATAGCCAAGCCCCGTTCACATGCAACGCTCTTTCGCGCAGCCACCGTATCAGAGAGAAACGGGGAGCATATAAGCAAAATGTACACTGCTAGGACAACGGCTCGAGTTTGGCCAATGACAATCCAGATAAGGATCACCATTACGCCGTCCACGTGAGTGATGTCACATTTCTGACTTTTTTCTCTTAATTTTTCACACCTTCACATTCAGTTTTTTTAAATAATTTAGATGAATGTATTCATATTTAATATTTCTGTAAAACTTGATTTAATATTTCTGTAAAACTTTATTTATTTTTTATTATTTTAGAAATGCATTTATTTGATTTTGGATAAGGTGGGATGTGAATTCCAGCAGTATATGATTTCTTATAGTAGAATAATTTCTCTAAAGAAGCTTTTGCTTTTTTTTAATTCCTTTATAAGAAAATTACTTGATAATATTAGAAATAATTAATCTATCACTCCTTACACACGTCTTAAATATGGTTAATGGAAATTTTCATTCAATAGCTTTATAAATTTATTTTATGCAGTATTTTAATTTAATAAGAACTAGTATTGATAAATAAATTTCCATTGCTTTCCTTATACATTCAGTTTAGAATTCAGTTTTCAGTGCATGTAATTATTCTCCTTTATGGCCCTCCAAGCACAGCCCAAAAGTGGCTGACTGGAACGCTGATAGTTCGATTTGAGTTTGATTCCAGGTGGATAGGCTGGCTGCATGAACATTTACCTGATTTTCCACGTGTGTAAATATGGATATGAGTTTTTTTTTTTTTTTTTTTTTTGCTTAGAAAATCCTCTACAAAGACATCCCTCCCACATAGACCTTGCATGCTTTCCATAATCAAATAAACCAAACCAAACCAACCCTCCAAGCAAAACAGCTCCTCAATAGAAATTCTTCATATCTGTCAAGCAAATAACATTCATTAATGTAATAAATTGTCATCATACACACTAAATCAAACTTGGAAGTTATTATTAATTATGCTTACAGAAACAAAGTACTTAATACCAGATTTTGTTGATTAATTTGCATTTTTAGAAATAGTTGAATAAATTTCTTACCTTTAATAAATAGCAGCAGCTAAAATGACCACCAGCAGTTCTACATGATTTTAATTTTGTATAAAGCTTGTCATCTCAAACAGAAGATGTTCAGTACCAGAATTTTTTGTATATTGAGGAGAAGTAGTCAGTTTCAGAGGTGATCACAAATAAGAGGTTTGCCATGTTAAAATGATAATCTGTTCCTAACTTTTTTGCAGGGTTTGGTTTGGTTTGGTTTATGTGATTACGGCGATGCCTCGAGGGCTATCTGCCTAAGGAGAGGGATGCCTTCGTGGAGGGCTTTCTAAGGAAAACTTGTTTGTATACACGTTACACATGGGGAAAACCATGAAAACGTCCATGCAGCCAGCCTGTTCGCGGGATTCGAACCTCAGACCGAATTACCAGTGTTCAGCTACTTTACTGCTCGTCGCTGGTAGGCATTTTTTTTTTTTTTTTTTTTTTTTTTTTTTGGCAGGGAAGGAAGTGTTTTCTAAGTCTAGGACATAAAATATTAGTCTAAATAGTGCATGTTAAGATTTGATTTAGGAAATAATAATATTGAAGCTGAAATTAAAATTATATAAATTT